TGTTTGTAGCAAGGGAAAATGGACTTAATGAAAATATGGGCTCAGTTTGTCATCACAGCCTAGGAGGACTCGTCTAAGGTGAGCCTCCGCGCAACGGTCGAATCGAAGCGTTCGTAGAACGTCGAACGATATTGCGACTATCGAGTTGAATCGAAGATATTCGTACAAGGGATGGTCTAGAACGTAGGAGAAAATCAAACATATTGCATAACGTGAGAGCAGGAATGGAGAGAAGAAAGTACGTATCATGTTGTACAAGTAAGGGAAGAACCTCTATTCATCGCGTTCTTTGGCTTCCTCGACTTCATCATCGTCGTCGCCTAGAGAATTCGATAGTTCGAGTTCTCGAAGGCACTCTGTCGAGACATCTTTGAGATCTTCGGGAATTGGTATGGATTTGCGCGTGAAATACGGAATGATGCGGAATGCTGCGATGGGTCGATCGAGGACTGTACCGTTGAGTTCGCACACGATGTACGCGCTGCCCTTGTTGCGCAAGACAACGATGAGGGGGCCTAGATATCGCGGGCGCATCTTGCGGTTGAGGGACTTCTCGATCTTCGTGTTGCGTATGAGCACTAGGGCTCCGCGCTTGAAGTCAAAATCCTGGATTGAGTGCTCGTGCTCTTTCTCGAAGCGAATTGCTGCAGTTCGACGTGCTTCGTAGACCTTCGAGTGGAGTTCGGTGACTTGCTCGACGCATTTCTGGAGCGCAATGGCCCTACGGGCGATGAGATCAGTCGTCGAAAGAATCGAAGTCGGTGGTGGTTGCAGATACGTAGCTTCGACGATGTCGAGAGGAATGAGCGGATGGGTGCCCGTAACAGCGAAGTAGGGTGAGCAGCCCATGCGTCGTCGAGTTGTGATGCGCTCGGACCAAAATACAAAATACGCAGCTTGGGACCATTTCTTCTCATCTCCGTTGGCTGTCTTAAACAAGGCTTGTCGCGTGCTAAAGTGCGGACGTTCGACGAGACCGTTCGCCCTCGAATTGTACCCACTGATTCGAATATGGTTGATGTGATACTTCTTCGAAAGGTAATCGGCCGCCTTGATGAACGCCGTACCGTTGTCGGTGACGATCTCACTGAGCGCGCCCCATCAACAGAGGATGTCTTCAAAAATCCAGTCGGTGAGGGCTTTTGCTGTCTCTTTTTGAAGCATTCGAAACTCGGGGTAAGTCGTGAGCGAGCATCTACCTTGGACCAAGTACTTGTATCTGCCTGAGGCAGGCATGTGCAATGTGTTGATGTGAATTTTCGCGAAGATGGGGGCAGGTACTACGATGGTCGGAGGAATGAGGATTTGCCGCACTTGTCGAGACTGGCAGATATGACACGATCGAACGAACCAAGCGATGTCGGCGTAGGGGAACTGTCACGAGTTGGTACGGCATCTAGCCGTTTTTAATTTTTTCCTTTTCGCGGGCTCGAACCCGCGACCTCTGTACTACCTGCCTGATACGGACACGTCGTTATCTACTGTATGATCAGATTAGATAGGACGGCAGTGCACGGCACAGCTCGGGCTCCGCTGACACAGCCTCTCTGACTCACCGGCCCCCGGGGCCGCATCAGCATGCTGCGCACGGACCAGCTGCGCACGGACCAGCGCGCACAGCCTCCCCTAAACATCCCCTGTATATAAGCCGGCCTCTGCTGCCCTAGGGACCTCAGTTTCGACCTCTTGTCCCTAGGTCAGTAAGCATCCTTTGTATTCCTTTTCTTACCTTACTAACTAATACATTTACTTGTCCCTAGCCTTAGGTTTGAGCCTAGCTCACCATCGCTTCGGTAAGATAAGTCGAACGCCCCCAGCATTTGGTTTTCCCCTGTCGCTTGACCCTAAGTCGCGACATTAGGTCGAAACTCCCCAACGCTGCCGGCGTTCCAAAAACAAAAACACTCATCTTTCCTCTCCTACAGGTTGGGTGGTGCGCACCCCTGCTATACGCTACGATACGTAGATAAGCGTACTATACATCGCCACCACTAAGGGAACGAACTTTTCAGTACCTGCACTTCAGTGGGCAGTACTTGTCCTCACGGACGCGTGGCTTAGGTTCCTGCTGCATACTAGCCAAAAGCAGTACTGGGCCCCACGTGAACTGCGAACCTCAGTGTCTTCTTGGGCGCCGTAGGTGTAAGCTAGCTACCACGGCCTTTCGTAGCACGCGCACCTCCCC